CCGGTTCGAAGCCCTGGTTGAGTTACTGCTGTCCTTGTTGTTGCTGGCAAAAAATACACACTATCTGGAGTTTCTTGGTCTGCCTTTTCAAATTTTCTTAATATTGCTTTAGATTTATATTTTCTTGCTCTAATAATAAGTAACTTTTTTTTTGTTCCAATACTTACTGATAACAACGTTTTTTTATGTCGTTCCATATAAACAACTTTTTCAATTTTGACATAAAAACGCAGAAAATGTTTTAGCATTGTTTTTCTTTTTTCATTTTTTTCATTATACAAAAATATGTTTGGTTGTTCCTGTTTATATCCTTACACGACTGATAGGAGTGTTTCGTTGTAAACACGGCAGAACTTGAAGAGGTATTCAGTCATGCTTCCCTACCTTGCCACTCAATTGGTTGGCAAAGTATTTGCTGAACATTTTCGTTTTTCCTAAAACATGACAACAATAAATTTGAATTAAAACAACAATAAATTTTAATAAAAAAATTAAACTCTCGAAAATATTATTAAAGTTGGCAAAAAATCACATGATGAAATATAAGTTTAAAAATGCGTGTGCGTGCGCGAGCTTGTTTGCGTTCGTACGTGAGTGTGTTTACATTTTGATCGTTACATCTGTTTTAAGTTTGCCATAAAGATCATTGAGACATTCGTTTATCCCGTATAAGTATCCAATATCATTCATCTTGAGTAGTTGAAACTTTAAGTTAGCAAGCAAATAATTTTACCAACTTTCTGAAATATGCATTTTTTGATAAAAAAAAATTATAAAAATAATAGTATAATTTATAATAATTTTTTAAAATTTTATTAATACATATTCATCTGTGTTAAAATAAGAAATGAGTTCTAAGAGTAATTAAATGAGTTCTAAGAGTAATTTCTGAAGTGTTGTGTTCTGAAGTATAGAAAAATATGCACACATGGTAGGCAAACATCTCAACATCAATTGTTTCATATGTAGATCACTTTATATTGTGACGAAGTTTTTAATTCAATAATAATTCATAAATAACAAGAATCATAATAAAATATTTTTTTAAATAATAAAACAACAATGAAATTACGATGTACAAAAAGTACGTACGAGCAAACATCTTTTCTGCAGGTCTTCGTAGTCAATATTATATTATTTTAAAAAATCATCACGCAATTTTTTATTTCAAAACGAAGACCATTATTATCAGTACTACATTTTAAAAACTTTTTATATGCACGGACAAAAATATACATCATATATATATTTATATATTTATCTATATTTATATATTATATATAAGTGTGTGTGTGGGTGTGCGCGCGCGTGTGTCACACACATCCAGGTGTAAATAAATGACCACACTTAATGACACCATGTCTGGTTTATTTTGCACGAAGAGGTAAAATAAAATGCAAATGTAAGTTCATTGTCTGTCGAGTAGATGTGTTTTTTTAGATTTTTCAGAAATGTTAAATTTAAAATAAAAAAAAGCTGATAACAAACGTGGACAGAAGAATATTGCTCGTGCAGAACATATATAAATAAGTTTGTATAGAACAATGTATAGCAACTTAGCAACATTTGAAGTATGTTATAACTTTTAAAACGTCTGCATTAAGGCAAAAATCGCCATCTTTTTCTTATATATTTATTAAAACTTATATATTTTTGTCAAAAAATATATTATAACATTAATTATTTGATAATTTACTAGTTGACATAACGCACTCAACAGAACCCACATAGAGTAACGATACATGGTTTCATAACAGTTCATCAATAATTTTCATTAAATGAAAAAACAGAGCAATGATAAATACCTTGGAAAAATTTCTTCATTTCGTATTTGACAACTGCAGCTAAGTCAAAAGACGTTTAAATGTCAAGCATTGCTTTTATGTTAATTCGTTAGTAAAAAAAAACTCAAAAATTTTCAAGACGCACGCACTTCAAAACGCATGTCACTGCAGAGAAAACATCATTTTTGACGTTTCATATTTTTTAAAGAACTCTGAAGAAACAAGAAATGAGTAAAAAAATTTATTTAAAAGTATAATATTCCTGGGAGGTAGTAATAAATCAAGTTAATAAAAATCGATTTTGTGATGTGTGGTATGCTATTTTTCGCTGAAATGTAATTTAAAACAAAAAAACACATTATGACTGAACAACTAAACAAAATCTTTTATCTTATGTGAGGAAAAAATTTGTTTGACCAAAAAAATAACTAGTCTGCTAACGAGAAGTGATGTTGATCACGAATACGGTTGAAGTTTTGCATTATTAGAACAGAGCGAGTGAAAACAATGTGTCTCTCTATCTCTCTCTTTTTCTGTGTTGTTTGTGTTGATGTCTCTCTTTCTCTCTCTCTTTCTCTCTCTCTCACTGTGTATGTGTGTGTTTGTGTATGCGTGGGTAAATATACGTATATATGCGTGTGTGTGTTTATGCTTTGTCAAACAATTATGTTTTGTGTTTATCGTTATTACGTGAGAGAGAAAATTTGTTGTACAGAACATTATTCTATTTATAATAAAAAGGTATCAGCTAGCCTAACAGTTACACATCCTTTTATTATTATTTTTATTAATATTAATTGTTTTTATTATCATTATTTTCCCTCCAAATAGGGAACAATGGTACATCGATAATGTTGGAGTCACATGCTGATTGCTATTGAATTAATGGTGCACGCGCGCATATACTGCAGACTACATTGAGAGTTGTACAAATCACACACACTCACACACACAATTATACACATGTTATTTGTAAATAATATCCACAAATAATTATAATTTTGAAGTTTCTCATATTTAGACGTGTTAGTTATTTAGACACACACACACCACACGCACACACCGCACACACAAACACCACACACACACAATAATACACATGTTGTTTGTAAATATTATCCACAAATAATTATAATTTTGTAGTTTCTCATATTGAGACGTGTTAGGTTAGTTAATTGAATAGAGATTTGGTATGAGGCGAAGAGGTTTTGACATAATGACATTCATCATAAATACCGACGACGTACATGGAACTACTTCAAAATTTTAGAATTTTAACTCTATATAATATAGCATAACTTAGTATAATTCAATAGAAATATGAAATACTTTTTAAAAAGTACTTTCGTTTTTGAATCTTACAAAAACGGGATGATAAATTGCACATGAAACTGAAGGAGGTAGCTAGTATAGTGCTAAACGTACAACGTTAAATCGATCCGAACGTGATAAATATCCAACTGCTCTTCATTTAGGCAGATATGTGACGTGTGTGTGAATTATTGTTTCGTTATTCAAAATAATTTTTTAGTGTTTCCTGATTTTTTTTCCAAACTTTTAAAAACATTTTTTATCAAAAAATTTTTTGCATAAATTTTAAAATTACTTAAAAAGTATACACATATATACACATACACATAAACATGTACACTCGAACATACATCTGTATGTGTGCAATATCAAAACAGACAGCAATCAATAATCCCAATTATAAGTTGAATAGAACAGAACATACAAAGCGGTTCGAATATGAATGTGATTATTTTTATTTTATATATTATTTTATTATTATTATCATTAAATATTATTATTATTAATTTTTCATAATATGGATACCACCGTGAATGTTAATCGTTTCGTATCGTATCGTATCGTATCGAAGATTTGTAGGGCTCTACTTGTGAGCTAACTTCTGAGGCGCTTTTTCGACAGCGGCTTGTTGGTCAAGTGGTGTTTAAGCCGCTTTTTGAATTCATCACAAGTTCACAAGTTATCTTGATGTTACTTTTTACTTTTGAAGGGTAGGTACAAATTTTTACAAAAAAAAAATTTCAATGGCAGAAGTACAAGATGCTGGTTGTCGGAAGATCCCAAGCAAAAACCGGTGCATTGCCTGTAAGACTGTCAGAGCTATTTTGAATTTTTATCTTTTGGCATAGGAAGCCAGAGTAAGTTCATTTCTTATGTACACATACAAGCACACATACTTATACATAATTATGTTCATACATACACTGATGCACACACACATTTACACAAACATACGACTCCTCAAACGTATATAGATATTTGAAACATATACATATCTTTATAACAAGAACAAAAATACAAACAAACATTCTCTCACCGATAACAAAAACATTAACATCATTTCAATAAACAACAACAACAAATATATTAATTCACACACACACACACACACACACACACACACACACACACACACACATACATATACACACAAAGTGTTAATCCATTTGTTACTTAATGTTTGACGGTTCAGTGTCACTCATCATGTTTTGGTTTTAACATATCCACACAAACACATACACACACATATGTATATATATACATATACACACAAACACACACACACATATGTATATATATATACACACACAAATATTTATAAATTTATAATATATTAAAGCATAATACACACACACACATACACACACACACACACACACACACACACACATATATATATATATATATATATATATATATATATACACACATGAAAATAATCTATATAAATACATGCCACGAGTAGACTGTGTCGCTGTATGAATAATTCTCCTTTTAAATAAAGTTCACTTGTAGTTTTTGTAAAAATTTGATGGATGGTTGTTTGGAAGGATGAATGAATTATCTGTTGTTGTTGTAGTTGGTCGTTATAATAACATGAATAAAAATATATATTATAAATAAAAATACTTAAAGGATAATAAATCCCAACAATTTATTTCAAAATTTATTTAAAGTATCATTATTTTTTTGTGATTCGTTATAGTGCTTGTTTCATATAGTTAATTGAATTAAATAAAACTTAAAAATTAGATAATAATTTTATTTTAAGCATTACATTCTAAAATTGAATAAAATATATATTGAATATCTATATAACGCATGAAGATTTTAATAAAGGTAATTAATCATATTCCTAATTTTCGGATACAAATAAGTTTCGTTGGATATATGTAACGATAAGAGATGTCTAAGTTGTACATTATTCTGCAGTCCGTTTCGCTATTAAAGTCGGTCATTTTTAAAAATTTTATATCGAAAGTATTTTAATAATCAGAAATTATTCATTGATAATAACCTCCAAATCTGGTAAAACATTTGAAACTGACAATCGCAAGAAGACACCTTTGTTATAAGCACCACATCATGAAGATGACATGAGAATTATTTCAGTAAAAAAAAGCAGTAGAAATATCGTCTCCAGGTACACACTTCTATTGACACAGATGCCATGGTTGATGAAAAATTTATGACAATTTATCGAGACATAGAATTGAAAGTACAGATACGTCCCAGAACTAACTATTGCTACAAAATATCCAAAACTAGTGAGATATAATCGTCACGTTGTCTTGTAAAATCATCAACTTTAACGACATCGGCTTGACATCATTCTATCATTCTTACTACATTAATTACATCACATCATCTTTATCATTACACATTTTCTACGATATTATCATTTCATCATTTCACATGTTTATCACATGTTTATAATTACTTTCTACCATTAGAAACGTCGTCGGGTAGGATCGCGGCGATATAATTGCTGGAAAAACTAACAACCTCTGTGCGATTAGATCTGCAGCTAGTTTGTTTCATTGACGTGGTTACAATTATATTGCTTCACAGAGCAGACAATTCTCTTTTTCACAGTTTAGCAATACAGTCCAGCAAAAATAACAACACAAAACATTAACAGCAACAACAACAAAACATCAACAACACAACAACACAACAACAACAACACAACAACAACAAAAAACGTTAATACAGGAACAACAAAAATTACAAGACACCATCACACAAAAACATCAACAACCCACCAATAACAAAACATTAACAGGACAACTACACTAGAGTATTCTTAACGCCAAATATAACAACAACAACAACGCAACACAACAACAAAGATTATTACATTTTCATATCTGCTGTAGTAGAGTAAGATCATTTCTTTCGACAATTACTTTTTTTCTTCAGCAAATAAGCTATCGAGGTTGATTTAAGATGCAAGAGACAATTGCATTACATTCACTTTCGTTATCATCACTATCATCATCATTCTCATACGCACCATCATTATCTCATTCTACCTCATTACTATCATCATCACAGTCATCATCACCACAGCCATCCTCATCACATTTTCCTCCATCATCACCACCATCATCGTCGTCGTCGTCCTCTCTGCAATATTTGCTAACTTTGATAAATTTTAGTCTTCAAACAATTGATCTAAGAACAAATAAACAGAGTCTGCAGTTAGTATTACAACCATCATCATCATCATCATCCCCGTCATTATCATTCTCTTCGTCCTCATCATTATCTTCATCATCATCGCTGTCATCACCATCATCATCATCATCGTCGTCGTCCTCATCA